ATTCATCATCATCATCATCATCATCATCATCATCATCATCATCATCATCATCATCATCATCATCATCATCATCATCATCATCATAACTACCATGACTTTCTTTTTCCTTAGAAATGGAGCTGAACTCGTTGAAGTAAAAGACAAAGCAACCAACGATTTTGCAGGCACTCTTGCCGGAGCCCAAGGCGTCTCCAGTTATTGGATAGGTGAGATGAAACTCGATGATCATTAACTCTTAGCATACAGAAGTCTATTTCTCATTTATTGTATGTAGCCAGTTTTTTGTGTTTCTTTTTGTTGTTTTTTAGTTAGTGTTTTTCGGCGCTCCCAACTGCATAAGATCTTATAAGCGCGCGGGACTCATTTTCAGTTGGTAGGAAATTTTGAATTTTGCCCGGATGGCGGCCGAAGCCTATTCTTATCGATGTTGGACCACAAGGGATCTTTAACGTGCGCAACTTCCACTCCGGACCTGGGGGTTCTTGTGGCCTGGAAGTTAAGGTGTTGGCCTCTCATTCAAAGGTCCCGGGTTCGAATCCGGGTAGCGACCGAAACATTTTCTTCTCTAAAATTGTCTCCTTTCACCTCCTTTCCTGCTCTCTTGCAATGTTCTGTCTACTGCTTTCGTCTCCTCTTTCTACCCCCACCCCCTCGCCTCCTTTGCCCCCTCCTCTGGGCTCCTGACTCTTTCTGCAGCCTTACTACTGCCATTCCTTGGCTTCTTCTTACTGCTGTCCTTCAATCACATCCCTGATCTTCTGGTAGGAAAGATCTACACCTAGCCTTCTCGGACAAGGACGAAAAATCAGTTCTAGCTTCACAATGGACCATAACTCTGTTCCAGGTCAACATTTGCATAAAACAAGCACTAACCTGAGAACAATTAGAGTGAATGATCCAAGCAATAACTTACAATCTGATTATAAATAAGAAGAATTCTCTGAGGTTTGGTAGATTTTTGTTATGACTTTTAACAATCGATCTATGCTACACAACAGAGGACTGGTGTTTTGAGCAAAAAGAGTTACTTTCATAAAACAAGTCTTAGTCTAATGTGCAACTTGATATTGCTTTCATTTGCGTTTTCGTGTTTCCTGATTTGGTTCCGGATATTTGACTATTACGAAAAAAAAGTGTCTACAAGGAAGTTGTTGTTGTGCTTCAAGAAAAAAAAACAAAAGAGGAAGCAAGAAAATTGTTTGGACATAGACTACGCATCAGTTGTTTTGTTTTGTTGGTTTTTTTCCCCTGGTGCAATTGGGAAATTACCCATGCTGGAAATGTTACAGAAAAGGTAAATGTAGATATTTTTACGCACCCACCAACACAATTTTGATTATATAGGTGTCGAACTTCAATCTTGCACGGCAGAACAGACCCGGGCTTAAAGGCCGAGGTACTCGATAAATAGCCTCCACACTCGGGAATCAAACTCGGATCTCCTGTCTGCGACAACAAAGCGTCTAACTGCTACACCATAGTATTATAATAAGCCGGTCGGCAATGTAACAAACACAGCAAAAGCATTATTCTGTGTTCAAATCTGCCCTTTTTCCTTTTCTTTCCTTTTAGATACATTTGTAAGGAAATACCAGATAGGTCTCACAGTTCAAGTTCTGATTACAGGAGAATGCTACTCAACTGCTCAGCGGCTGTCACTGCTGTGTGAAATGTCGTTACCTCTCTATGCTATTTGATGAACTCCAATATGAGGTTTGAAAGGCGCAGCATTTGTATGTCGCGCTCACCTCTTACGCCAGCCACTTGACATTCACCTCTCCTCGCTTTTCCCCCCATCGAATGTCCGTGCAGCACATATGCACTTTTTTCAATCTCCTCCCCCCCCCCCCCCCACACATTTTTTTTACACCCCACCCCGCCTATCCCACGCTTTATCTTGTTTCCCCACACACTGGCACACACAGACGTGCAGAAATGTATTCTCACGCGCACCAAATAGAAAACGAAAAAGACGGACAAGAGAAAGAGAAAGAGGGAGTGAGAGAGAGAGAGAGAAGGAATAGCGGTGGAAAAGGGGGAGGGGTTGGGCTGCGGAAAAAGTCATAAGTGGGGGGAGGGGGGGGGGATTCAGTTTCAGGGAAAGAGAATGATTTCAGTTTTGAATATTGCTAATGTGTCG